TAAATTTATTTAATCATCCAGTTAGTGCTAAACACTGAACTAAACTGCGAGGATCTGGAGTGGGTGCTCAGTCAGTTGAGTGTACAACTCTTGACCTTGGCTCAGGTCATGATCTCATGTTCGTGGGATCAAGACCCACATGGGCTCTGTGCTGACAGTATGAAACCTGTTTGGGATTCTCTCCCTCTCTCTTTGCCCCTCTTCTGCTAGTGTTCTCTCTCTCTCTCTCTCAAAAATAAATAAATAAACTTAAAAAAATAAAATGCAGGGATCAGAGGGAAATCAAAGGCAGCTTTTCTATAACAGAATGCGGCTGAGGCCATTGCCAGAGTCAACAGTGAATAAGCTTCAAGTCCCAGCAACACTGACTTACTATAAGATCCTGGAAAGCTTACCACTTCTGTCTCAAATTTTTCCTTCCTAAAGCCTAGTGTTTTACTATTTCTTGCTTCTGGAGCATTTAAAATTTTTAAAAATTTTTATTTAATTTATTTTTAAATTTACATCCAAGTTAGTTAGCATATAGTGCAACAATGATTTCAGGAGTAGATTCCTTAAAGCCCCTTACACATTTAGTCCATCCCTCCTCCCACACCCCCTCCAGTAACCCTCTGTTCGTTCTCCATATTTAAGAGTCTCTTATGCTTTTGTCCCCGTCCCTGCTTTTAAATTATTTTTGCTTCCCTTCCCTTATGTTCATCCATTTTGTATCTTAAAGCATTCCTATGAGTGAAGTCATATGATATTTGTCTTTGCTTGTAGAGCTTTTTTTAAAAAATAGGGAATGCTTTACAAATTTGCATGTCATCCTTGTGCAGGGGCTATGCTACTTATAGAGCATTTAAAAATAATAAAGAGCTATTGTGTTTTTCTGAATAAAACAAACAGAAAACCCCTGAAAACAGCTAACTCCAATTTCTTAAAGGGTTTGTGAGAGAAACAATTTGAATGCCAAATGCCAGCTGTGGGCACACCAGATACTGGGAAAGGTGTGAGTGGATGGGATTGTGCATGCCCTGTGGAGGGGCCATTGATTCAGAAATCTCCACTAGACAGGAGGATTAGAAAGTCTTCAAAATCTTTATACCTTACATTAGGATCCCCAAACCTAACAAAATATGTACAAGACCTATGTGAGGAAAACTACAAAACTCTGATAGTGAAATCAAAGGAGAGCTAATAAATGGAGAAGTGTTCATGGATAGGAAGACTCTATTTTTAAGATGTCAATCCTTCCCAACTTGATCTACAGACTCAATGTAATCCCAATCAAATTCATAGTAAGTTATTTTGTAGATACTGACACAATGATTTGAAAGTTTATTTGAAGAGGCAAAAGACCCAGAATATCCAACACAATATTGAAGGAAAAGAAGGTCAGAAGACTGACACTACATGATCTCATGACTTATTAGAAAGCTACAATAATCAAGACAGTATGGTATTGATGAAAAAAAAAAAAAAGACAAACAGATCAATAGAACTGAAAAGAGAGCACAGACATAGACCCACATAAATGAAGTCAAGTGATCTGCACCAAAGAAGCCAAGACAATACAATAAGTGCAGACAGTCTTTTCAAAAAATGCTCCTGGAATAACTGAACATGTATATGCAAAAAAAAAAAAAAAAAAAAAAAGAATCTAGACACAGACCTTATACCTTTCACAAAAAATCAACTGAAAATGGGCACCAGAGCTAAATGTTAACATGCAAAACTATAAAACTCCTAGATTTTTTTTAATCAGTAATTCATTTTTAGATACAACACCCAAGGTACGATCTGTAAAATAAATAATTGATATCTTGGAGTTTGTTAAAATTAAATATTTCTAGTTGCAAGAGAAGGTACTAAAAGAATGAGAAGCCACAGACTGGGATAAAATATTTGCAAAAGACACATCTGAAAAAAAAATTATTATCCACAATTTACAAAGAACCCTTAAAATACAACAGTGAAAAAGTGAACAATCCAGTTGAAAAATGGGCCACAGACCTTAACAGACCTCTCCCAAAGAAAGTATACAGATGGCAAATAAGCGTATGAAAAGATGTTTCACATCATCATTGCAGGGAAATGCAAATTAAAACAACAATGAAATTAATATGGCCAAAATTTAGAACATTGATAACAGCAAATGCTGACAAGGATGTGGAGCAATTGGAACTCTCATTCATTGTTAATGGGAATGCAAAATGGTGCAGCCATTTTAGAAGAGAGTTTGACACTCTCTTACAAAACTAAACATATTCAGCATATGATCTAGCAGTCATGTTCCTTGGTATTTACCCAAAGGAATTTAAAACTTATGACTACATAAAAACCTGTATATTAGTGTTTAAAGCAGTTTTATTCATAGTTAACAAAACTTGGAAGCCACCAAGATCTCCTTCAGTAGGTGAATGGATAAATGAAATGTGGTACATTCACACAATAGAATATTACTCAGTGCTAAAAATAAATGAGCTATCAAGTCATGAAAAACTTAAATGTATATTACTAAGTGAAGGAGGTCCATCTGAAAAGGTTAGGGACTGTATGACTTCAACTATATGACATTCTGGAAAAGGCAAAATTACGGAGACAGTAATAACAATAAAAAGATCTGTGGTTGCTAGGGGTTGGAGGATGAATAAGCAGAATACAGAGGATTTTTAGAGCAATGAAAATAGGTGGTATCATAATGATTGATGCATATCATTATATATTTGTCAAAATCCATAAATATGCAATACCAAAAATGAACCATAAGATAAATTATGTGGATAATAATGATGTGTCAATGTAGTTACAATAAGGACAGGAAGTATATGGGAAATCTATGTACTTTCCCCTCAGTTTTACTGTGAACCTAAAACTACTCTAAAAAGCTAGTCTCAGGGCTCCTAGGGGGCTCAGTCGGTTAAGTGTCCAACTTCAGCTCAGGTCATGACCTCATGGTTTGTAAGTTTGAGCCCCACATCGGGCTATGCGCTGACAGCAAGAAGCCCAGTTGGGACATTCTGTCTCCACTCTCTCTGCCCCTCCCACCCCCTTAAAAAATAAATAAACAAAAAATTCTTAAAAAGTAAAATAAAAAATAAAGTCTTAAGGCACCTGGCTGACTCTGTCAGGGAGCATGCAACTCTTGGTCTTAGAGTTGTGAGTTTGAGCCCCATCTTGAGTGTAGAGATAACTTTATTTTATTTTATTTTAAAAAACCATTTTTTTCTTAAGTTTTATTTATTATTGAGAGAGAAAGACAGTGCAAGCAGGGGAAGGACAGAGAGAGGAAGACACAGAATCCCAAGCAGGCTCCAGGCTCTGAGCTGTCAGCACAGAGTCCAACACGGGGTTCGAACTCGTGAACCACGAGATCATGCCCTGAGCCGAAGTTGGACACCTAACAGACTCAGCCACCCAGGCGCCCCTAATCATAGTTTTCTTTGGGTGGTAGGATTATGGATGATTTTTATTCCTCTATGTTGCTACATTTTTCAAGTTTTCTAAAATAAACATTTTATTTTTTAAAAAAAAACAGTGGAAATAGATGAAAACCATACATGAGAAGTGGGAGAAATTATTAGTGATTCTGGACATCCCAAGTAGTTTTCCCTAAACTCCACTTGGGCTAAACCCAGATGGCCCCATACCTTCCATTATCATGTCAAACAGAACAGGGCAGCAATTCCAGCTTTGCCATGTCTCTAGCTGAATACCCTTACACATGCAAGGAAGATACTTTTTGTGCTTTTATGTTCTTAATTTATAAACCAGTGACGTAAAATCTCACAAGTTGATAGGAGGATTAAATGAAACAACCCATGAAAAGCCCAGGAACATTTGTCAGAGCTCAGGAAAGTGTATTCCCTCCCTTATTCTAGAACTAGAGCAAAACACCTGCAGATCTATAGGTGGGACAGAGACAGCTGCAGAGGTGAGTGGGCTCACGAGGACAAGCAGGGACCACCTCTGCACTACAGCTTTGATCCTGTCAGTTCTACTCTTCATTCTAATGACTATGGAAATGAGGGGAACACTAATTAATGAGGTAGACAATGATGTGATTAAAGGATACCCTTTGGACAAGCAAGAGCCCCTTCTCAAAGTCATCAGGCAAGGGTCAGCTCTCTTCTGGGAGTTCTGGCTGGAGTTAAATCTGCTTTTGACCATATAGCTGACCTGAGATGGATATCATACTGAAGCCAATGATCCTTGAAGATGAAATAATCTTTAAGGCTTCTTTCCGCTCTGATTATAATGCTATAATTATTTTTTTTAATATTTTTATTTATTTCTAGGAGAGAGAGAGAGACAGCGTGAGCAGGGGAGGATCAGAGAGAGAGGGAGTCACAGGCTCTGAAACAGGCTCCAGGCTCTGAGCTGGCAGTCAGCACAGAGCCTGACGCGGGGCTCAAACCCACGAACCGCGAGATCATGACCTAAGCGAAAGTCGGACGCTTAACCGACTAAGCCACCCAGGCGCCCCTATAATGCTATAATTATAATAAGCAAATCCTGAAAGGAATTTGTTCAAATCTATCCAGGCCTCCATCTTTTAGTGCTTGGCAGATTACTGTCAAGTTCCGTGGGCTATGACAATCCAGGGGGCGTCATTTGGAAGTGTGAAAGATGATTCCTGAGACTCCAGCAGCAGGAGCCCTTCCCAGAAAAAGGAGAGGGATGTAGATCAGGAGCCCTTAAGAGACTTCATGCAACTGCACCCTTCCCTCAGGGAGCCATGCAGATTCCCTGGGGCAAGGAACATCAAAATAGCGCTGGAATTTCCAAGCCTTAAAATGCTAGGGTGTGTGTTGAGGTAGGGATCGGCGAGGAGGGGCGGGAAAGAATCCCTAAGGAAGGAGGGTTTGGTTTTGGTTTTGGTTTGAAGCTGAGGAACAGATATTCTGGACAGTACCATCCAGGAATTCCGCTTCTCTAAGCGCTTTTGTGGCTCAACAGATCCCAGGAGACTCTAGCACGTCATCACTCAACTGTTACCTCTTCACTGCCTTCCCCAGCCGCCGTCCAGGAGCCTGCTCCTGGTCACCATAGCAACCGTGACGAGCCAGCATCCCGCTCTGCAGCACCGACTTCTCAAACCTCAACTGAGATGCAGCGGTGAGGACGAGCAGCGAGAGGCAGACACCCAGGATTTCATTCCTCCTCGTTGCCTCGACTGTTAATCCCTGTGCTTTGAGAGAGAATTGCAGCGAAGGGACAAGGGGGAGAAAAGGCTGTACCTTGGAGACTCCGGATGCTAACCTCCGGCGGGTGGTCCAGCGGGAAGGTGGAGTGTGCAGCACTTGTGATGTGTGCAGCCATAGCAGCACCACCTGCATTCTGAGGACCGACTGACGGTGGAGAGCCAGCATTTATTACGTATCGAGGAGATGCCCTTTGAAGCCCTAACTGGTGAGTACCATCAAGTCTTCCTTCGGGTGAACAAATCTCCCAAATGACGAGGTTATATGTCTTGATTGCTGCCTTAAAAAAAAAAAAAAATCACATCTTTAAATTGCTTATGATTGGGAAGCATTTTCCCTTCTGACATCTTTGGGTTGTCTCTCTTTAAATGCACGACTTCCTTAACCAGTGGGAGCCACACGGTAGTCTTGGTTGTCTCCATTACCACACAATACCCCATTGGTGCCGATGCAAGCATCACAAATAAAAGCTCCAAAACCTATCAGAGAAGGAGCCGGGCTCAGTTTCCCAGCACATTCATCCAATTTGCTTTGTGTTCCATTCCTTCAATCAAAGAAATAACGTCCCCAGGCAAACCAGTGGCTTGCCAAATGTCAGAGGAATGAATGCCAGGAAGTCCTTGTCGAAACCGCGTCCTTTCTAGTGATCTCAAGGAAACGAATCCATTACCTCAGCCAAAAGAAACAATTGTTACGCGAGGAGAGAAATCTACTTTACTCCAGCAGAGGGCGCCAGCGCTTGCCCACACAGCTAAGTACACAGTCCACGCATGAAATAGGCACAGATACGCATGTACCGGGAGGCTGCGCGGGATGCAGCGCACTCCCTCTCTTGGAGATTTGTAACAAAAGAATGGTCAAGTTCATTCCTTCCAGGTAGCAAAGGGAAGGGCCAACCGACTTCTAGGGGACTGTATCTTGCTTTATAGTATTGAATGATTACAATTCCATAGCAAAATACTTTGTGTGTATGAAGTTCTTTCCTTGAAAGCCAACCCGTCTCGTTCCTCTCCACCCTCCACCCCCCCAAAAAGCTTTCTTATTGGTCTAGCACTGTAATCAACTACTTAAGAGTTTTTATTGTCATAAAGATTCCTTTCAGGGCGCCTGGGTGGATCAGTCGGTTAAGCGTCAGACTCTTGGTTTCAACTCAGGTAATGATCTCACGGTTTGTGAGTTCGAGCCCCACATCCGGCTCCATGCTGACAGTGCAGAGACTGATTGGGATTCTCTCTGTCCCTCTCTCTCTCTGCCCCTCCCCCTCCTCTCTCAAAAATAAATACACCTTAAAAAAACATAACAAAAAAAGATTCCTTTCGAAGGAAAGGCAAAATCTTGCTAAAATGCAAGATAAACAGAAGGCTGAACTGCTGGGTCCCTGCAATACTCTGCAGTGGTTCTCAATCCTGAATGCATGTTGAAACACCTGGGGAGTTTAAAAAAATACTGATGCCTGGGTCCCATCGCCAGAGATTCTGACTTACTTGATCTGGGATACAGCCTAAACAGTGGAATTTTTTTAAAGCTCCCAGGTGACCCTAATGAATGAAATTTGCGATCCACCATTCCAGTGGATTAGGATGACAATTTTCCGGTTGAACTGACAATTAAACTAAGCTTCTCAAATAAGGTGCTGTTGTAGGACAGGGTATATCATTGTCGTGACTGCCTAGAAGCTACATGCAAAGACAGATGCCAGGGATCTAGATGCTCAAAGAGGCTCAGGATGAAGGTGATGTTTCAGAGGAGGGAGGGAGCAAACATCTCTCTCACAACAGGTTTTCTCACTAAATGAAATGTTCTGATTTATTACATTCCAGGGCAAGGGGAAGGAGAGATGTGTGCCTTTGCAAGTCTGTAGGGTGAAAGCCATGGCTCCCTGTAGATGTATAGACTTCATATCTGTTAGTACTAACCAGGGTCACCTGTGTAAATCTTCCACTCATTTCAAGGAGAACAAACATAGAAAGTACAGGAGGAGTTAGGAATGCAGTGGTCACTCTAAAGAAGGGAAAAGCAACCGTAAGATAACCTAAGAATTATAAAGCATTATCCTTCCCAGGCCAAACTCCCGAATGGTTTGAACTCCTCCCAAACTTAAGGGAAAATCTAAAACCTTAGTTTCCCTGAAAATTCAGGCACCAGGGTGAGCCCTCTTACAAGTACTATTGAAGCCTGGCAGGCAAACCTTGTTGTGGGACGTTCTTCCAATGCTCACATTCTAATATTATCTCATGAATATTCATAAGTCCTGTAAAGCAGGTGGGAGGCAGAAACTACACAGCAATACCTAAGGTGCTCAAGGAAGTTAGGTAAGGCCTCAAAACTCTGGGCATGAGAAGTTAGAATTTTATTTTATTTATTTATTTTTTTTATGTTTTATTTATTTCTAGGAGAGAGAGAGAGAGACAGCATGAGCAGGGGAGGGTCAGAGAGAGAGGGAGTCACAGACTGAAACAGGCTCCAGGCTCTGAGCTGGCAGTCAGCACAGAGCCCGATGCGGGGCTCGAACCCACGAACCGCGAGATCATGACCTAAGCGAAAGTCGGACGCTTAACCGACTAAGCCACCCAGGCGCCCCGAGAAGTTAGAATTTTAAATACACTATTAAGCATCATCTACCAAACTACAGCCAGAAATTCACCCATCAAAGCTGCCTTATGCTCTTCAATTTTGGTTAAATAGAGAAATAGTTATGATCTTCTTGAGGAATAGGTATGAAAGTACTGTATCTTCTGAAACCCTCAGCAAGCCTCAGTCATTCACCTAATAAATAGGCAAAAGAATTAAGATGCTGTTTAAAGATAATAAAAGGCTACCTAATGTGGATCACAAAACCTTATGTGCCAGGGCCACTGAGCAAGTGGCTGGGCGGTATTTCCTGACTACAGAATGACCATAGCTCTCCCACACTGCTACACAGGACTATTTGTCTCCCCATTCTCAGGCTCTGACTTAGACAAGCCCTTTCTTGGTGCCTCTCTCTAAACAACCCAAGATAGTTATAACAATCTCCATCCTTCCCTTTAGTCATTGTTTTTCCAGTCTGTGCACAGCCACACACCCAACACATTTTTGTCTCCTCATGGAGTCCACCTGACCTCTTGAGACAATGTCTTCACTTACCCAGCATGGGCCTCACACAGTCTTTCCCCAGCATTTACTTGGCAAAGCCAGGCGGTAGGCATGCTTCACCTTGCCTGCTCTTAGCTCTCTCAGATGAACTGGAGCTGCTTTTCACTAATTCCACATGAAAGATGGCTCACAGTGGCTTCTGCTACCTCAAACCCAAAGACCCTCTCCCAACAGGCCACCTCAGAGCTGATCTACTTCACAGGGCAGGCCAGGCCAACCCTGTGAAGGCTGCCAGTCCTAGCTGACTAAATTGGGACGAGCAAAAGCATGCCCCTCTCTACTGTGACCACCAATTATCTAGTCTATGAAAAGGGGCAATTTGCTTCAACAGGACCCTGGAAGAAAATGTCCAATTGACCTGATTTAATCCATATATATCCATTCATTTTCAGGTGTCACCCAAGTGTAGAGTGCGAATACTTAACAGGAATGTGATACATTAATAAAATCCTATTTTATACTTTTTCAGACTCATCAGTGAGTAATGAAATCAGTTTCGTGAGTCATGACCAGCATTTTAAAAAGAAAACCAAGTAGAATAGAATAGAATAGAAAATATCAGAGTGTATCCCCTTCAGTGAGGGGAAACTTTGTTTCCTAAAACATGTGTTTCAGTTTTATCTCTGTGTATATCTTGTTTGTGTGTACTGAGTCAGGATGCAAGATGTATTTCCTATTGGAGGTCACATCTGAGAATGTTTTAAAGTCTTTGCCTTACCGCAAACACTGGCCAAAACTAAAGTTGAATCAAAATTAAATATTAAAAAGTCAAATTCTAGAACAGCTAGCCAAAAAAATAGAATTCAATATATTTTATATCCATGGTTTATTTTGAATCAATAAGGAATCCATGAGGTGGGAACTATTCATTCAAATTTAAATTTAAAATTTGACCAAAAAAATGAAGAGAGTGGGGGAAATATTTGCATTATGTATTATAGACTAAAAGTTAACGTCTTTAGGGGTGCCTGGGTGGCTCAATCAGTTGAGTGTTCAACTCTGAATTTTGGCTCTGGTCTTGATTCCAGGGTCATGGGATCGAGCCCTGCATCAGGCTTGGTGCTGAGCATGGAGCCTGCTTAAGATTCTCTCTCTCTCACCCTCTCTCTGTCTCTCTGTCTCTCTCTCTCTGCCCTTCTCCCCTGCTTACACACACAGAGGGAGAGAGAGAGAGAGAAAGGGAGATGGGGTATTGGAAAGGGAGAAGCAGAAAGAGTTAAGCATTGACTTGTGCTTTTTTTAAGGCTCATTTCTAAAAGGCTCTTTATTCCAGGTGTGGTGATACAAGAAACTGAGGGAGAATTACAACGTCTGTCCCTCCTATTGCTCTCTTACATTGAACCAAACCTTTAAGAAAGTATTTTGAATACTACCAAAAAACATCCTTCAGAATTAAAAAAAAAAAACAAAAAAACACTATACACTATGATTCCATTTACATGACATGGAAAAGGCAAAAATAAAGAGAAAAAAAAAAGATTAGCAATTGCCAGGAGCTAGAGGTGTGAGGGAGAAGCTGACTACAAAGGGGAACAAGGAAAGTTCAGGGATAAAAGAACTATTTTATAACAGCATATATTTGTTAAAAGCCAGAACTCTACTCTAAAAAAGTAAATTTTATAATATGTAAATTATACCTCCATAAACCTGACTGGGGGTGAAAACTGTGGACAAATTCAGGGTCCATAAAAAGAAATTCACTCACAAGAGGAAGTAAATGAGCAAACACATAGATATGTATTTATTTTGATAGCAATCAAAAATGCAAATTATAACAACTCTGTGATACTGTTTTATTTTTTTGCTAATAATTAACAAATTTTAAAAACAATATAATGTTATTTAGAGTGCAATAGGTAAAAATTGGGGGGAATGCAACATGACAGTGTAAAGGAAAAGCCCTAGAAGTACTATATCCTGGAATTTTTCCCGACAAAAGATTTTTAAAATTCCAAATGCATGAAAGATATCTTCTACTGTGTTAGCTTTAAAAGGAAAAAAATTAGAAATAGCTGAAATGTCTAACATTAGAGGAATAGTGAAAAAATGTGTGGTACATCAACGCAATGGAAT